AATTTATTTCAATCGTTTACGCTCTACTCTTTTTTTTCAACCAAACACAGATGCAACAAACGCAACAAAACGACACGGTTAGCGGTGTTTAGATTGGTTCATTTATTGAATTTTTGACACAAACTAGAGCAAGTACGGGCTGTTTAATTTGTTTAGGTAATAAATTCCCTAATTTTTTGGCTCACCGCCCACATAGGCACATTGTATGTTAACTTGACACAAAAAATCACAAGGAAAAAGAAATGTACTAAAGTTTGTATTGATAATTCAGGTTTATTTTTTAAATGCCATAGCACCCTCTGGACAGCAACCTCCAATTACTTCCGAAGCTCCTACCGCCCCCTTAGAGGTCTTCACGGCCCACTGGGGGGCCACTTTGGGAAACCATGGTCTAGGTCATACGAAGTAAATTAAAATACTAGGTACATTATATTCCCTAGGAATATAATCCATTATTACATGATGCACTTTACTCCCTTGCTTGTAACTAGTAACAAAATCTGCAGAAAAACTTGGCGGTATTTTTTGCTGCCACCGCTCTGCCTCGAGCCAGATTCGCGCCGCCCCCAATAAGTAGTGATACAGTCGGTATTATTTCATTTATCATGTTTATAAGGTACGTGACTCATAGATACCAGGGTCACAAGACTACCGTAGGCCACTGAGTTTTAATAGCAGTAGAGCTCTTTGTGAAAAAGTACGTCCAGGGAAGTACTGCCACTTTACCTATTTCTGCCGCAGAACAATAATGTGAGATAACTGCGTTCCGGTTTTAAAGGGTTAGGGGTGCTGGTGAAATTCCAGGCACATGGGACTTGTCAACAAGAGGAACGGGCGCAGTGGCAGTGCCCCTCCGATATTTGCGGTTTAAAGCTTGACTGGCACTGCAACTGTTATGAACAGGCGTGTTGCTTACCACCAGGCCCACAACATGTTCGTCCCGTCGTGATGGACGCAGTGGCAGTCTCTAGGATGTTTGTAATTTAAAGCTTCGAGTGGCCCTGAACCTGTTATGGACAGGCGTGTCGCTTACCACCAGGCGCACGGCTTGTTCTCCTGTCACTTGGTATCATAAAAAAAATATTATTTTTTAATATTTTTCTTCTCTTTTTTTTCTGTGATATTTTTTATATCAATATCAAACAATTACTTCTAGTATGCAAGGAGTGTTAAACATTCAACGACAACGAAAGCGTCATTGGTCATAGCTCACACTACTGTGGTCATTGTAGAAGCGCAGATACCGTTCTTAAGTCAATGTGCGAGGTTCCAATTAAGTAAGCGACGCGTGACGGACGCTACGCCAAGAGAACATTATCGTGTGGTACAATGTAACTTATAAGTACTTAAATAAAATTCTATAGACACAAAAGCAGTATATTCACAGTGACTTAAAACTAAACAATAAATAATTGCGTGAATGCAAATAAATTAAGAAATTATAATTAAATAAAGTAGAATAATGATAATTAGTCAAATCTAACGGAAATTATGATATTCGACAGGATTTTTTAATTTAACAATGTGGCTACTTCTATCAACTTGAGTAAATTAACTTAAAACAAATCTTGAATTGGTTTTTTAACATTAAAACTCGCACGTGATATATGTATTGTGAAAGACAGCGAATTCTTAGTCTGTTTTTAACCAAACGATCATTACAATCATTTACTAAGTACCTTGTAGGTACTGTGCCATTAAAGTTGTCTTAACTTAACTTTGATTTACAAGTATTGCCGTTTTCACTGTTTACCTCCGCGTCCACCCCTCGCAGCGTTAACTAGCTACAGTTTCACCGAGATCTTCAAATTCGATTCTTACATCAATTTTTCACTTTTCCTTACTTATAAATGCCATATTACACATATTTGTGGCAAATTTAAATACTTACATGGCAAGCATTCTTATCGTTTTATTTTTACACCTTCTTACACATCACGTAAAATTAGGCGTGCGCTCTCTAAGCACAAAAAAGCATTAATCGGATTTCAATTTAAGTCCGCTACTTTTGGTCTTGGCCATCATTCTTCTTAGTACGGAGTAACATATCCAAAATATGAGATATAGTTTTGAATCTGTGGTTATTAGCATGTAGGTTGCAAAAATAGCCATAATTATACCTAAAGCGTTAAATAATAGCGGTATATAGGAGCTGATTGTGTTTTGCTTTCTGCAAGGACAATCCTTGGGACATGTGGGTTGGGTAAGTACATTGTTTAGCGTTTTCTTAGCGTCTAATTGAGCATTTTGTTTTTCTATTGTCTGCTTTTGTGGTAGAGATTCTGAAATAAACATATATATATATTTTAGTTGAACGCCTGTCACAAAGTTACGATGAGTTTTGTTTCTGGACTTTTAAATGTAAAATTATCAGGCGTTTATATGCTTCATGGAAGATAACTTGGCAAACAAAATTTAGTCGACAATATTAAACTAAGTATACATTAGAATAATAATAAAGTTTGATTTGCTAAATTTACTTTAATTACAATGAAATGTCTGCAACAAAGTTTAGCAATACGTACATTTTCAATATTACATTATATTGCAAAAAATATAATTTTAATTCTGCAAAAACTTAATTCTTAATGTTTTGGGTAATATATACATATGTATGTTAGTCTTTTCTATTATATTTCATAAAATATGAGCATTTACAAAGTGATTTACGCACCTTTAACAGTTTGACACATTGCCGTCCACTATTGATCTCTACCCGGATTCAAATGTCGTCAAAATTAATGATAAAACTCTTAAATATAATCAATGAAGGCTATCATCCAAAAAGGAGGAAGTATTAGGACGAGGCATAGTTTTCCGGAATCCGCACAAGTACCCGTGCGGAACGATGGACAAAAAAATATCGCTTGCTTTAGTTTTCCGGGATAAACAATAAAATATTTTTTTAAACAATAATATGGGTGACCTTATACTTAACGTTTGTTTGGCTTTCGTCTGAATTCGCTCTTAACAACTAATATAGAAATATTATCACAAAAATTGCGTTATATTATATTTTAACTCAAAATTGCAATATGTTAATAATTTATCTCCAAATTTTCCCTATATATGCTAGTCATTCGAATACGATTTAATTTCAAAGTGACAGGACAACACTGTAGCTTTGAAATTAAATAGGCAATATTAATATAACTTATTGCAATTTTGAGTTAATACTATGTTAGTTGTAATGTGCGATATATGAAGAGGCTTATCTTAATAAATGGGTTAAAATGTATTAAAAAAAAATTGCGTTTGTTGTTATGGACTGGACTCGACTTTAAAAACCTTCTGTAGCTGGCTGTATCAATGGGTGAAAGGGTGGAAGCTAACAACGAGTGAGCAAGGCCAAGAGGATGTACTTACAGTTTATTAATTTTATTATAAACACGTATGTTGCTATCACAAGTAAAATAGCCAACACTAAAGTCAAGAAAAAGGCGCCAAAAGCAAAGACATTTAAATTTAGAATTTAAATATAAAACTAAGCTTAAAAAAGACTATTACAAAATATATACAAAAAGATTTGTAGCGATTCGCTACATCGTCCGGGCGGAGAAAACGATGGGACCACCTATACTGTTACTATCCTAATTAATTTCCTTAGGGGACGTCGTAGCGTGCCGGCACCAGTCGCCACTTCTACGACTCTGACCTCACCGTCTCTACCAGGGTAGAGTTGGAGTACTTTACCTTTGGGCCATACACCTCTAGGTAACGTGTCATCGGTGATGATTACCAAGTCTTCTACATTTAGAGGAATTTGGGGAGTTCGGGATAGGTAGTACCTCCTTGACCCACCTGGACCAAAAGTGGTCAGCCGGACGGAGGGGTTTCTTCCACTCTACCCTGCAGATGACGTCACGGTCATCTAAGTCTAAGATGATTTGGTTGGATGAAGTGCCAAATAAATGATGAAGCACAAGAAAATGATGAAGCACAAGCTTTGAACGGATCTCTGAGTAACAGACCATTGAAGAGGCGCCACATGTGGGTCAAAGCAACGTCAAAGTCAAATAATCATTTATTCCATAGGTAAAATTTTTAAACTTGAAAACATCATTTTTAAGCTACTTTTTAAGCTACCGCTCGTTCACTACGCTGACCTCCCTGAGAAGAACGAGCAAGAAATTCCAGGGATTGCTCTTTTGTAATAAACTTAAATGCTATGGAATAAACTTTCATCATAATTGTGTGGAATCTGGAATCGTGTTGTCTTTCCATACTTCTTTATCGAAAACATACTCTTCAATTTGTAATATGACTTTTCCGTTAAAATACTTTTAATGTAAGTTTTAAACTTAGGAAATGATAATCTTAATATATTCTTCGGAATCTTATTGTACAAACGTATACAGTTCCTCATAAAAGAATCGTTTACCTTAGTTAAACGAAAACGTGGTACCATGAGTTTGGACTTAGTTCTAATGTTAATATTATGAATATCTTCTTTCTTAATAAAATTATGTTTATTTTTACGGGCATACAAAATATTTTAGTAAATGTACTGCGATACCACAGTCATTATGCCAGTCTCCTTAAACTTTTCTCTGAGAGAAACCCGAGAACCTATACGGTACACAGAACGAATCGCTCGTTTTTGCAACACAAGTATGGTTTGTATATATGCCGCTTTACTGGGACTTAGGAAGGAGAAATTGGAAATATGAAGGCAGCCTAACACTGGGCGGGCGTTACAACAAAACAACTGGTCAAGGTCCATGGACATGCAAAAGGCATTATAAAAAAAAATGGATGACAGTTGTTTGGTGATACACAATAGAAAAGACATTTTTAGTATGCTTTATGAGCCCTACACTTGCGCCACAAACGTACCTATGCGGCGACTGTTAACAACTCTCATGAGAAATATCATGTCGCCGTATTGTACACACATTTAGAATGTTTTTCACTCACTGTATTTCCTATCCAAGTAAATCGATATCGTAGAGCAGCCGGACAAAAGGATTTTTTCAGCCTTGTTCTACTTTTTTGCACCACTAGCCAGTGCTATCAATGTTGCCGATACCGTGTCAGGCCACCGGTAATTGGTATAAATGGATGCACTCCACAGCCGAAAAGCAGTCGTGATAAACGAAGCAGTCTGACATCATGCCTAATCCCTGTGAACCGTGCAAAGGTGAGGATTTTTAGTTTGTTATTCTGTATATATACAAAATTATTACGCGATGATTTGGATGAATTCTCATGGTGAAATTGCTCGTTCAGCAGTCAGCACGTAGGTACCTAATGACTCCAACGTCTGGAGAATACCTGAAAATTTTGTAAAAACGAATAATATTTCCAAGAATGGCGTAAATTGTGATCGCTACTCTAGGTAGGATCACTAAGAGCGACCCCAGACGATGCGTTGCGTCGACGTTGCCACGACGTTACGTTGTTACGCTGCGTTGTACTATACCTGTATAAATCAGAACGACATGCTACACGGTGTGTTGATTGAAACACCGCAAGCAACTTAGATCAAGAGCACGTTAAGCTTTACACTTAAGACTTAAATCCAACTCTATGCCGCTTACAATAAGAACGGTCTAAAGTACAGTGTCAAGCTTGACGTCCTCTTGACTGTACGAACGTACATTGAAATCATAGCGCTGCGACGACGAAACGCCCGTGTGGTATCTCTCTAAGCTAAACAAAGTGTTACTAAAATGTAAATGTAAATTTGAACGCTATGTGAATGACATCTGGTACAAATTTTAACAAAGAATTTTCACAGGTTGCATTTCGTTATATATAACGTACCTTACATTTTAAGGATAAGCCAGCCTAATGTGTGTTATGAGGCAAAGTTAAATTGAATTGATTAATTAAATTACTTCAGCTGATGTCATAAAGACATTCCTCTGGATTTCACGCTTGTCTATTGAGCATGTTGTCTACACTTAAGTACCTGCAAGAGTAGTTTGCTTTGTAGATTCGTGCAAGGAAGGAGCTTGCCAGGATAGCTGTTCGTGTAAGGAGAAGGGCTGCAGTGATTCCTGCTCCACTTCAGGTAATACTTATCTAAGTGCGTATTCACATGCTTTTTATTGCAAAGGTATCATTATATGAAAATTCTGCACGGCCATTTAAAGCACATCGTAACTTTAGAAGACTTTGGTGTCATTTTGCAAGTCTGAGAATGATAAACATGGAGATGCACTAAGCCAAAGCTCACCATTGTAGATTTTGGCTGTTTCCTAATTAACTCAACCTGGCACAACGATAAATCAAATAACAACCGCTGAATAAGTACAGAGGCTTCACAGCACCTCATTGGCATATATTAGTGCACTGTTAGATATAGTTCTGTTTATACTAAAAGCCTAGACGCGTTTGGTCATTGCCTGTAGCAATCATTAAAACATTTCGTATATTTAATTTAATACTATGAGTTTGAATAGCAATTTATTATTAACTTACATTGAAACTAAATCAATGATTCTCCGTACAGGTGCTTGTTGCTAATCCGTGTTTCCGATGGACCGCGCGGAGTACAGGTTCTTCACGCAACATCGGCGAACTCGCAGGCTGCCGCTGTGGCCGCGTGTCAGTGCCGCCCTCGAGACCTGCTTTCCCATTGCATTTTCCGTTGTATTCTTCATCACTATTGTCTTATTCTACTGCTTAATATAAACGTTTCTCTTTAATTTGAGTTTTTTTTTAAACATTACACAAGAAATAAATCGGTTATTTGATTTGACAAGAAGATTTTGAAAAGAAAAACAGATTTTAAAGACTTGTAGACAAACAGGAGGTACAGAACAATAAATACAGTACAAGTGCTTATTGTCGTCACTATACATATAAGACGCCCAATTTGACAGCTAAGGAAGACGATAGTGTGTAACTTTGAATGCAATCAAGGAAACAGTAAACAAACAATTATGAAGTTATTCGGTTTAATGAAATACATAAATTTTAATACAACATTACATAATAAGATAGAACATAATTTCAAGTATTATTTTCGCATGAGTTCCAAAATGAAATGCAATTTTGAACTGCAAATTGTATTACTATATTGAGATCTAGTTGGGATACTACCTCAGCTAATGATTTTGGCTTATCTTCCGATGAAAGTGAATAAAAATTTAAACTATGAAATGAAGTCTTTTTTGTTTTGCTTCAAAATTTTGCTATCTAACTACAGATTGTCTAAATGAACTTTGCAACTATTGGATTTCACTGCAATCATGTACCTACAATACTTACTTATTATTCACATTAAAGTCTGTATTGCTTAAATGTTAAATAAATGTTAATTGTTCTATGTAGAACTGAAAACTAATGACCAGAAAAATACGATTCACGAAAAAACAGACTCATAAAATTTTCGAATCGATTTCTCATAAGAATCCATTAATATGATTTCCGACATGTTTAGTCGCATCTCTATTTACGTTGTTAGGACAATTGTAAAAGGGTACGTGCTTCTTAGGAATGGGTAATATAGCTTTTTCTGAATATCGTATCAAAACTATATATCAATATTCGAAATCGGATTTCGAAACTATATATTTTCTGAAACTATATATTCATGTATACAGCCCGCGTGCGCGCTGCGTTGATACATTGCCGTTACTGATATGCGGAATCAGAGTTCGAAACTATATATTATTGGATATAGTTCTACAAGAACCAATGTTAATACACAGTTTCGAACACGCACAAAAAACGGTTTCGAGTTGATATCCAGTCAGTGAATATATATTGAAAATCTAATACGAAGCAATATTGGTATAAAATTTGGAAAATATATGATTTCGTATTGGTATCCACTCGGTAATCGCTCGGCTTGATTCGGCATCGCTATAAAATACGCGATGCGGAGTAATATCGATATATAGTTTCTAAGATATACGATATCGGATTTTCGATATTGCCACAATATATAGTTTCAATAACTATATACGATTTGTAACGCCCATTTCTGGTGCATCTTATTTTGTGACGACTATAGCGGGGGTAGCACGTGTGCCAACAGAACGCGTAGTTCCACATATTTGAGCTCTTTTTCACTCTTTCCCTACTTTCCTAACCCCGTTTCTAAATTCATTATTGTGTCTTTCCCCGTTTTAATAACCAGTCAAAACCATGTATGAAACGGTTATCGCGAAAGGCTAAGAAAAAAACGTATAAACATGATCGGTTCCAGTGGTTAGGCGGCATTTCAAAATGGCCACTTTAAAGATCTAACGATTTGCCGCGAAAAAATGTCAGAATATTAAAAAAAATGATGAAAAATTACAATCGAAAATCTGGCCTCTTAGACAGACTAACAGACGGCTAAGGACGAATAATTTTACTACTAGTACAGTGATTTGTCGAATATTATGGAAATATTTCAACTGCCATTGCAGTAACTCGTAAATTGCAAAAAAGTTCTTGCTACCTATCTATCATAACAAAATGTTACTTTTCAAAAATTATGCTGTATACATATATATACGCTATTATGTAAAATTATAAAATGTTCTGTCATTACAAAACAAGGCAAAGAGAAAAATGCAATATACTATAATAGTTAGTTTATACTCAACTATCCACCAGGTATCTATATATACCAATGTTCCACCCTTGTGTAACAAATTGCAACGATTATATTTAATTTATTTTTAATTTATCCATGTCGTTCAGGCGAAATCTTTCTAAAAGTTCGAAATCAAGAAGCTTAACGAAATATTAGATAATAGACAAATTAATAAAACAATTTATAATCTATGATTGCACATTGAGAGAGTTTCAAGGTAGGTTTTCAGTATGGAAAACAGAAGATAAAAAAGTACTTTCTGGTAGGAGTACGTATGATTCTTGCGTGTTATCTTTGATTGATGATTAGTACCATAGATAAGAGTAGTATACTCTTGTTTATTTTCTATATCAAATAAATTTAAATACTAAATATGTTATATTTTAAAACAGCCACAGTTAATTATAATACAACAGTCTAAACTATTAACTAGAGCTGGTTTAAACTAGCTCGTATGAAAGAAATGTTTTTTTTAATTCTTTTGTAACGAAGTTGTGTTCCTAAGCATTATTTATTTTTTGTTGTTTTGTGAATTTTTATATTTCGCTTTTAACGTTATTGTGAGATTTAAGTTTTAGCGAAATGTTGTACTCATAGTTACCAACAGTTAAGAACTGTTGTTTTTGCCTTAAAGTTAATTTAGGTGTTTGGAGCATTGTCTTCTTCAGTGTGGTGAGAAACGTTTTATTTTTAACCGTTAAAAAAAAAAGAGAGGCTTTCCCCGTTTATACGTATGTATACTGCCTCTGTGGCCGAACGACTAGAATTGGAAACAGCACGTAGACTCGCTATGTGATAAGCTGAGTGGTGCGGTGTTTGTTCTGCGTAAACTAAACTAAAACCGTTGGTGTCTCGTAATGCGTTGAGACAGGCGTACTTTGTACACTTCCACTCAACTATGACTTATGGTGTTATTCTGTGCAGCAATTCGATAGAGGCTGACAGGTTAATGCGTACACAAAAGCGAGCGTTACGAATTATGGTTGGCATAATCCAGAGGCAATCCTGCAAGGCGCTGTTTGGTGTACACCGAATAATGACCCACTACTCGCAATATGTTTTTGAGGTCATTATGTTCACGCTGAAACACTTGGCACGGTTTGGGCGAGTGGAGGTGATGGGTGGGTGCCTCAGTCGTGCGGGACAACTCCGATCAGTACCGCGTCGCACTGCACTTCACGAAAAAACCCGCGGGTTGTAGGACCGATCTACTATTAGCACCTACCTGCCAAACTAAAAAACGAATGTTGTGAAGAAACGTTCAGGTGCTGACTGAAGAACCTTTTACTGGAAAAGTTCCTTTACTCAGTATCAGAGCACTTTAATTATTATATTTATTAATGAATTTGACATTTCACCGTATTATTATACTGTAATATACATTTATTAGTCTGCCTCCGTGGCCGAACGGTTACCATGCCGGACTGCCACGCAGAGGCCCCAGGTTCGATTCCCGGGCCGGGAGAAATATTTGTATGGCCTACATTTA